AGCTCCAGGTCCTACCGATGGTTAGTTGCAACATCTAAACAGACATGTCTGGCCGTGATAGGAGCATCACACTAATCAGTGACTCAACAGCACGCGGCCCATGCCCCGGCATGAACACTCTCGCCAACCATGGCTACCTGCCGCATGACGGCCGGCGAATCACCCGCGACATCCTCGCCGATGCCATGCTCGAAGGCTTCAACATCGCCAAGAGCGACGCCATCATCCTCTTCTCGCAAGCCGTACGCACCAACCCAGAGCCTTTCGCACGTACATTCGACCTCGACACTTTGGGCCGTGAGGGCGTGCTGGAGCACGACTTCAGCCTGAGTCGCTCCGATCGCTTCTTCGCCAACCCCCTCCCCTTCAACGAAACCGTCTGGGCGGAGACAGCCTCTTTCTTCACGACCCCGGAAATCACCGTTCAACAGCTCGCCGACGCCCGCATGGCACGCCTTGAGACATCTAAGAAGACTAACCCGGAGCACAAGGCTTCGTTGTTGGCGGATGGGTTTAGTTGGGGTGAATGCGCTTCGTTCTTTGAGATTATGGCGGATGGCACTACGAGTACTGTTAGGAAGGACTTTATTGAGTACTGGTTGCGTAAGTTTCAATCTTTTTGTGAGCAGGTGGATAGAGAGTAGTCGCTAACGCATGTGATGTAGGCAACGAGCGCATGCCTACTGAGATTGGCTGGACTCGCCGCCCGACTGTGATGCAGACTAGCGAGCGTACTAAGTTCACTCGTGCGCTGATGGAGGCTGCGGGTCAGGGTACTGGCTTTTCTCTGTTGCAGTGAGGGGGTTTTGCGGGTTGTGGCTGGTGATCACGCGCTGGAAGCTGAGTGGGAAGGAAGATGGTGTATGATGTATGAGCTCAGGGAGCTCGGACGATTTCGTTATGTACATGTCATGAGTGTTAGGCGTATTTGCTCTACTATTACTCCATACAATGGCTCAGTCTTGGTATGACAAGTGTGTTCGCCGATTGTGTGGGTGGCTGGACTTAGTCATCAGCCTCGTCACGGGTGTTGCTGCCTACCTACCTAGGTAGGTAAACCTAAGGCGGCCGCTCCTGCCCCTCTTCGCTTCATCGAGTCTCACTTCTCTTACCAAACGTCCCACTGCACCAACATTCTTCTACCAATCGCTCGCACATGCATCATCCGTACTAAAGTTACATTACAATACTATTTGATCGATTGCGACACGGAATTTCGAACGCTTTAGGCAGCCGCGTTGCACCATTGGCGGGGCTCGATGGAAGCCCTCCAAGCACCACTTACAACGGGTTCAGAGATATCGCCATATCAGCCCATCGATTCAGATGCCGGAGAGATTCGCTTAGTCGAGTTGTTGCCAGGTGGATACGATGACCCGATTAGCCTGTCGCTACACACCGTCAAGCTGGAACAGCGGGTAACAGATGAGGGATCAGATGAGAACATGTCAGACCTGACAAACCCAAATCAAGAGAAATCAGACGATGAGCACTGGTACGAGCGTCCCTTCCACCGCAAATTCGAATATGAAGCTTTGTCATACGCCTGGGGAACGGCGATTAGCCCTCGCAGAGTACTGGTTGATGGGATCGAGCTGCATATCACCGAAAGCCTCGATTCAGGGCTGAGGCGTCTTCGGTTTGGCGACAAGCCACGTACACTCTGGATTGACGCACTGTGCATCAATCAGCGAGACATAGAGGAAAGATCCCATCAGGTTCAGCATATGGCTATGATCTATACATCTGCGAAAGACGTCTTGATATGGCTCGGCGAGTGGCCGAATAATGCGGCTTGTTCGCATCCAGATGACTGCCAAGCGCTCTGGTTCATCACGCTACAAGAAGAGGGGGGCGAAGAGGGGAGCGAGAGTTTACCCCATGTTCCGCTCCATATATTTCAGCATTTCGTAGATATCATGGAGTTACCCTGGTTTCGTCGACTTTGGGTCGTTCAAGAGCTGGCATTAGCGAGAAAAGATCCGATTGTGCTGATCGGTAGCTTGAGCACAAGTTGGTCAAGTTTCTCGGAATCTGTTTACGACACACTTATCTCCGACGGGTTAGAAGGACCGGACGACGTTCAGCTTCGAGTGCAGTTTAAGAACGGCTGGAACCGCGTCTCGTCATTGGCAGAGATTAGATCACGCTCTGGCAGTCACAGAGGCTTGTATTGGTGCCTGATCGGATCACAAAAATCGATATCTGCAGACCCGCGCGATAAGGTCTATGGACTTCTGGGACTATGCAAATTCCAAGTTACCGAAGCAATAGCAGTTGATTATTCGAAATCCCTGTGGCAGGTATTGGTTGAGGCCACAGTTGTCTCCATCTTGGAAGAATCCGCGTTTCCCTATCTCAATGAATACACAGGACCTACTGGATGCTTTGATCGGAAAAATTGGACAAAGTCGTCCTGGGTGCTAGATTTCACCTCAGTTCCTACAGATGTTCATCTCAACGACGTGCCCAACTCGAAGCTGGACGTGGAAGAGCGAAAGAAGCGACGAGGCTCGATACACCTATCAAGGGATTGGCAGACGCTTTATGCCCATGGTAGGTACGTGGGTACTGTTTGTGAGACACAAAGGTTTTCATGGTCCGGGGGTAATCACGATATGGGTTTCCAAACTCAGAGAACGAACACTGAGACATACGACTTTTACCATAACATCTTAAAACCTCGAGGCATATCACCACGTACTCTCCTACAAGCAATTCGAAGAAAAAGAACAATCAACACCGGGACTCTTCGTCGCTTCACCAGCTTTCTGCTTGGAAGTAGAGATGATTTCCGCTCCGACTTCACGCTCAATTTACTCTATGATTTCGGCGGCAATACCTACTCTGGACACCTAGGAGGCCGTGATATCGTTGTCACTGAAGAAGGAGACATAGGCATCTCATTGCATCGAGATTGTCGACCTATACCCAATGGCGCTATACTGGTCTGTTTATTTGGGACAGAGGTTCCTTTCATCTTGGCACCAATACCAGAAACTGAATTACACGAAATGATCAATATAGCTTACGTACCAGGATACGGAGACAAGATGTTGGATCGCTATTACCCAATCAGGCATCGAGCGACTTGGATAGACTTCGCTGCGGAGGGTGGCAAGGAGTACGCGATCGTGTAGTTCCTTCTAGGGACCTGGAGTCGGGCCAAAGGGACCTCTTCGATCGTCAAAACCTGTCACAAATCTGTCTGGCGACTGCAACAGCAGCAGCAAAGTCTTGGCCTGCATATCGGTCTCAAACCCAGCATCGACTTTGTCGTATAGGCCAACTTTCGTTAACCACAACGACAAGATCAACAATCCGGTGTTTGGTTGATCCCTCAAGTTCCGAGGTCACTCTCCATATCGAAGTAAGAACGAGTGTCTAGAGCAACATCCAAGCCAAAACCTCGCGGTATTCGGCACGCGCCGTAGTAGCAATGGAGTCGGGTTATTTGGCCTTATTGAGCTAACAAAGAACGTGGTGCCAGGCGATATTGGCGAGAAGGCCTTTCCGTCAGACTCTGGCTGAGGCGACTGTTGAAAAACGAGATGAAATTTGACAACAACAGGAGGCAACAGCGGGATGTGCGAGGGAAGACTCTTCCTTCTGATAACACGTGCAGCGCTTTCGTTGTGCCGCGTCACGTGTTCTTGAGGGTGTTCACCCCGGCCTCATCATCAGCAGGCAATCTCGCCTGAAATCTGTACTGATAACAAACCAAAGGTTCTGCTGGGCTATCATAAGCCGGAATAGAGAGAAGTGGCGTGCAAGAGTGCCGGTTCGATCTCGATCAGCGCGGCCCTGGGCGTGCAAAAAGAAAGTTTACCACATCGGAGATTCGGTAGTTGTGAAGGGAGGACTGGGCTTGGCATAAGCGCGAAATATTGGGGGGCGGGGGCCATTAGAACCGCGTCCCCATCTGCGCGTCCTACTTGGGCCATCGCGACAACATCATTTTCAACCATCTTCAAACTGCTTTGTCGACAACTCCATCTACTTCTTTCTCAATAATCCAAGAGGTCGCTTATCAATTACAGAGTGTTTTTAAACTAAATGTCTGACCCTGTGGATCTCACCACGGTGGTTGGATGACCGGTGAGGATAGGAGGACCTCTTGCCTAGGCCATAAACGCGACCTCCACGCCCTCGGGTCGCACAACAGCCAGGCTGAGTTCGCTAGCAGCGTCGCTAGTGGCTGTTTGGACGCCGTAAACCTCCACATTACGACGCGGCATACTTACTGCTCATGCGTGGCAACGAATGCCGTCCAGGTGGCTCATGGCGCCTTGTTGCCTTCTTTCTCTTTGTCAGCTTTGGCAAGTTCTTGATGTAGGCTGCGGACATATATGACGCGTTTCCAGGTACAAGCTATGTTACCTTTTCTCCACCCTTGATCGTTGGTCGTTGTACGTTGCGTGCTGCTCCACTCTATTATCTGTTAGTACCCGACAAGAATGGCTACGCCTACGAGTATGGCCACTCAATCGGTAGCATCCGCACACAGGCCTATGGTCGAAGACAACCCCAGGTATGATGTTGTTCATGATGCGTTGAGATCGTCTCTAATCATGCTCCACAGTCTTGCAGCGGATAATCCACTCAATGGCGTTACGCAGGTAGAAGCCCAAAGATTCCACAAGAAATATCGTATACCAGTCGAGCGGGATGTAATTGTCCGCGGTGTCCTCGCCCTTCGATCGCAAGTTGACATCAAAGTCGAATTCGAGGCCATCCAAGATTGGCGTTCAGGTAACCCCAATGAACCGCACAGACCCATCGAGTTACGCGTCGGCGAGCACAAATATACACGACTGGAAAGCGAGGTTTTATACAGGGCTTTTCTGCCACAGAGTAGGTGGGAAACACTGAGAAATTTATCGAGGTTACATTGGCTGTTGATCGTCGCTTGCATCTTTGCGGCAATGACACAGTGAGTGCTATGCTGAGTGCATGCGATTCGTGGCTGACGTTTCTCCAGAGGTTGGGATCAAGCTGCTATGGCCGGTAAGATAATTCGAAAGAAGCAGTCATCTCTTTTGACTGACAATCTGGAGGAGCTAGTATCGAAGTAATGAAAGCCTTGGGTATAGACGACTCGGATAAATCTTGCGCCGGAGCTCCCAGCACGGGTATCACGAGACGGACAGACAACAACCTCGATGTCAAGACCGACCGCAGTGCCTGGCTGCTCGGGGTCACAATCGGCGTACCGTTTTTCGCTGGTGCGATACTAGGTCTCATCATCACCGACCCAATCAACAGACTCCCCTTTGGCCGTCGCGGCGCTATATGTGTTGCGGGCATATTCAGCTTCATATCGGTCGTGGGCTCAGCTTCGGTCCACAAATGGGAGCATCTTCTCGTGTTCAGAATTCTATTAGGTGCTGGCATGGCAGGCAAAGCTTCAATCGTTCCTATTCTGCTGTCTGAAACCTCGCCCAAAGATGTGCGCGGCTTCTTACTGGTCTTCTGGCAACTTTTCGTGGCATTCGGGCTGGCCGCCGGATCTGTTGCAAACATGGCCGTATATCGCCTTGACGTGCATTCAAGTTGGCGCTACATGTTTATCTCCGCTTTCATCCCCGCACTACTCTTGCTATCATTGATCCTCTTCTCACCTGGTAAGCGGTTCATGTGGCTCGAGGGTCCCAGTTATTGAATGCTAAACCTCTGTGCAGAATCCCCTCGATGGCTGTTGAAGGAAAGCGGTAGCGTAGGGAATCTTTCCCAGAATGGCAAGCTGTCGAAGAACGATCCACGCAGGGGAGTCAAAATTCGGAAGGCCTACAAGTCTCTAGTCGATCTTCGAGGCGAAGTTGTTCCCATACTTGCCGCCGGCGAACTGTTCCTAATGCACACGCGCCTCATCGACGAGCAGCGTCGGCTGAAGGCAGCATTAGATGGTCACTCCTACACGACCAGTGCGGCCAGTCGAAATACAAATGCGAAGAGTCCCTTCCGTGATGTTATTCAGCACATCAGCTGGCGAGAAAGAGTCACGTTGATTTTCTTCCGCTCTGGATATACGAATAGAGCGCATCGAGCTGCAGCTGCTGTAATGATATCACAACAACTGTGCGGTATCAACTTGATAGCTTTCATGTCCGACCACTTCTTCAAATACTCCTTCTTCGACGACAACCCCGAATGCGACAACTCCGAAAAGACCTCAGACCGGAATATAACGCTACTGGGCGCTTCGCTTGGGTTGATGCTCCTCAACTTTATAGCTACAATTCCTGCCCTATTCGTTATCGACATTACCGATGGACGGAGACGTGTCTTGAACTGGACATTCCCAGTAATGGCCGGGGCTTTGCTAATGTCTGCCGTAATCCCAAAGATTCCCAACCAGCCAAAGGATGGGTACATCGCTGGACACTACATCTTCTTGGTTGTTTTCATAATCGCATATTCGGTCGGGGAGGGTCCAGCAGCTTTCGTCATCTCAGCAGAAGTCTTTCCCCTCGTTAATCGAGAACTCGGTATGAGCCTCGCTGTCTGTTGGAACTTTATGGGAGCCGGACTCCTTGCTGTCTTAGCCCCATGGCTGCTGGATACGCTTGGTCAGTTCGGCGTGCTCTTGTTGTTTGCAGGTACCAACCTTCTCGCATGGTTTCTTTGTTTTTGGCTTGTTCCCAGTACCGGGAAAGAGGACCTAGAGGAAGTGTTCGAGCAGCTCGATATCACCACCAGGTTCATGTTCATCTATACTCTCAAAACGATATCGCGTAGATTCACCCAACCAGTAGAGTGGTGCTTGCGATTGACCTCCAGGGATTGGAAAGAGTGTGGCTATCCGGAGAGACTTGAATCACCAAGGAAAGAGTGGGAGAAGAAAAAGCGCGCACAAAGATCGAAAACCACTCATCCCGGTCCTCCGGACTCTTCATGCTCGAGCGAAGACGAGGTAGATGAGATACCGAGCGACAGAGAAACCGATCGTTGCGATTGAAGCACGGCACCCTGCAACCTATAGACACGCACGTACTTGAGCTGAAATGGTTCCACATCATACTTCGTAGACATCGTTGCGATGGCAGCAAAACGTGTTGCAATGAAGTTCCCAAATCACCGTGTTTCAATACTGACCCATTTCGATATTTGAGTTACTCTTCCGCGGCCCCACCTTTACCCTCGACCTTCCCTCCTCATACATGTCGCCATCGCGATACATCCGCATTCTCCACTTCCAACAAGCCAGCGTCAAAGCAGTCAAAGGAACTGATATGACGAAATAAAGCCAGAGCTGTTTCGAGAGCACAAGGTTGCGAGACTCCGAGTCGAAATCGACAAGGTTCATGCCAAACATGGTCTGTAAGTCTTCAGCCGCATTCAGTCTTCATAGCTGCCATGGAACACTTACCGCAACGAATGAAAACGGGAGATAAAATGATGTGACCAGGGTGATCGCTCTGATTGCGACAGAGTCCTCTCGTGCTGATCTGCCCATGTCGAACGTATTCTTGCTCTGACTCAGGTTCAGTGTATCCAGCATCGACTGAGTAGTTGACTGGGCCCGCTTGTTCATGTATAGAACCTGTCCTCTGTATGATGTGGCATCCTTGCGAAACTGGGTGAGTGCCGCTCTTATAACTACGGCAGTGTCATCTTTTCCTTTGATCACGCCAGAGAAGACATTGTTGGCTTCTTCGAGATCTCTCGTCAACCTTTCGAATGATGCTAGGATGGGCTCTAGCGGCAGGATGTTCTTCTCAATCGCACGGACTTCTTTCAGAGTTTCGAATGTAACCAAGGACTGTGTAAGCGACGTGCAGGCTGGCTTCATATCCTTTGCATCGGTCAGTAGATACTTCAAAACATTCTCATTATCGACGGGAGGACTCACTAGATGAAGAAGCTTAGCCTCGTGGTACTCAAGATAGTCACGCCAGGAGCTGAGATGTGTGGATATCAGCATCGAGTGGACCAGCATGGGATTTGACAGCAGCCTAAGTCTGGCGTCCGGTTGTTGTAGTACCTGATGAAGGTAGGCGTCGAAGTGAGCGGTCGGGCTCGGATGTATAATGAACAATGTTGATCTCGCCCGCTTCTGGTCAGCAAAGTGGTAAATTCCTGTTTGTCGAATGCGCCATGGGTTTCCCGTGGTGACAGCTTTCTGTTCCGAGTATTTGAAGACCCAACCGAACTCTAAACAATCGTTACCACATTGGATTTGGATGTCGATTAGAGATGACATACCAGAGCGTTTATCCGTGAAATGCGATTGCGACGCGCTGGAGAATCCCTCTTCCGTCGGCAGATGTCGATCTTTGAAGCACGTCAAAATTTGAAGGAATCCAGGGCTCAGGTGGTAACGATCTATGAGAAGCGATATCATGTCGCTGCTGATATTGAGAGGCGCCCATGTGTCTTTTTGGTGAACCGTACTAACAAATCTCATCAGCCTGGAGGCAGAATCATTCAAGTCTACTCACTATATTTCCAAATCACTACTCTGTCCATCTGCATCGTTTGAATTATTGTCAAAGTAAGCCGACAGTTGCGAACTGCTGGTAAAGCTTTGGGTTGATGGAGTATGCGACGCATCACGTGCGAAGCGAGTGACCTTGAGCAAATGGCTCTCCTTGCGCTTCGAGAACAACTGATGGCAGCCGAGGATGCAGGCCTGTATCTGTGACGTTGATAGGGCGAGTGCATGAAGGTCATGCGCACTCTCGTCGTTTTGCCGAGTACTAGAAGACATATCGGAATTGTGAATTGCAGGGTAGTAAGACTTTGCGCAGAGACGCTCCGTGATATTTGCAATAAGTACGTGTTCGCTCCTCGCCTTCCCAAAACCGCGGCATGGCCTTATCCAATCCTGAGGGGCCCCGCACTGCCTGGACGGGCTGACAGGCACAGCGCCTCAGTCCTTTGCATCACTAGTAGAATGCCTCCCGTTAGCGTTTACCGGTCGCGAAAACAATGGGCGCATTGTATTACCTCCAGTCATCCTAATGATGTCAGCACAGCCTAGTGGGCCTTTCTGAGCGACTTACCGCCGTCAAAAGCTCAGGAGCCTCGAACGTTAAGTACTCCTCTCCAGCTCTTTGGATGTTGAAATTGATGTTATCACCGAATTTGTTTCTGAGGAACTTTTGTAGCTTGTCACGGCTGTAGTACCGTTGGAGGGCTTGCTGTTGTATCATGGCTTGGTGGTGGCGAAGCTGAGACAAGGCAGGATAGCATCTGCCCGCCGCTGGGGGACTTTATAGCCTGATGTAATCTGTACAAGGCTGAGACAAGATCAATTCGGTCTCCAGCAAGCCGGGGGGTGTCTGCGTTGGCGCAAGCCTACCTGCATACCTGGGTAGGTCCTGCTCATCATCTATACACCGGCGTCGTGTTGTCAAAATACTGGCCTGCAGCTGGGCAGGCAGGTATTCGAAGGCGGAACAGTACACGCGGTGCCATGCCTGCCACTTGAAACGCCACGCTGCTGCGGGCAGGTCGAGCCTTTCAAGATTGGAAGTGGAGCCTGGCGACACGCGGGCGCCGGGGCCCCGCGCGACGCGGCCCCTTGGCAATCAAGCGATGACGCCGTTCACATGGGCGATGTTGCCTACAGCCCGGAAGTGTCTTGCTGCATCGCTGCCCCATAGTTCTGAGTGCCAGTGGACGTCTTACCCCAACTTTGCTACCAGTGGCTCCCGTCAAGCAACAAGCTAACGAGCTTCGTGTGGCCTCTCTCTGCGTTGCAGGGACCGACGCGCATGGCCGGTTCCACCAAGCGCGTCTATCCTGCATTTCGACGCGAGTCCCGTCGCGTGCGACGATCGAAGAATCCTTGATAATCGACCCGCTGGGCAGCCCGGTTCGATGAGCGCCAGGCCCAGTTTCTCAACGTCGCGGACCAGCGTGTCCATACCACGCAAAGCTCAGTGTGAGGAGCTGGCCCAGAAATTACAAGATGCTGTTGAACGGACTACCAAGGACGTCGCAGAAGATGATGCGCAGCGCAGCGCCTTCTTGCCGAAACCCGACCTTGACCAGATACTCAACGATAGGTCGTTGGAGCTGTTGTTCACAGAGTTGGTCACTGAGACTTCTTCCTTCGGAGGTGGCGTGTTCTTACAAACTAGTGCTACCAGTACTGCTCATGAAGAGAAGGGCTCAGATTTCGTAAATGACGACATGCAGGTGTTCATCAATAGTTGCATTGACGCGACGAAGCGCAAACCACTGGATGAACCATCCTGGAGAGCTCTACTTGCTCTGTTTCTGTACCAGAACAACAAGGAATTACTCTCGTTATTCGTGGAATGGATGGTCATCATGTTCGACCATCCTACAGCCAAGTCTCACAATCTTATACCGTCTGATGAATCGATACCGTTCACGAAGACCACCCTGAAAGGATATGATGTCCCAAATTGGTGCCACAGACTCATCCTCCTGGATCAAGCGATATTCAAACCAGTCATGATTCAGAAGCTGGAGCACCACGACGTCGCCACCAGCGAACGCTTGCCTTTCATAGGCAGGTATCAACCCATCAAGAGCGGCTCTCAAGGCCAAGTCTTCAAAGCTGAGATAGCACAACGTCACTGGGAAATTCGAGAGAACGAGGACCAGGAAAAATCGGACTTTGTACCTGGTAATCCGAACAGCACGAAAGTTGTAGCGCTCAAAGTCTTCAAGGCGGCGGAACCTGCGCGCAATATGCTCGAGGCCACTCAGGACTTCAAGATCGAGCTCAGAATCTTGGAGGAACTAAGAACGTACAAGACTAAGCACAAAATGATAATGCTGCATTTGGGTAGTATTACTGAGCTCAACGGGGCAGGAATGCCGACCAGACATTCTCTCATTTTTGAACTGGCAAGTTTCAGTTTGGGTGATCTCCTCAAAGGCAGGAATCGCCCCCAGGAAGCCGTCAAACCATCTCGTTTGCTTGCTAGTCTTGTAGACATTATCGAAGCATTAGAGTGCTTGCATGACAAGCTCGACACTCTCCATCTCGACATCAAACCTGACAACATCTTGATCTTCGAGACTCGTTCCGGTTCCGGAGACGAAGAGCAGTATGAACTCACCTGGAAGCTCAGCGACTTTGGTCTGGCTGGAAAGAAGGCTGCGAAAAAGCCAAAGGCTGGATCTGCGCAGACCTCGACAGCTACTTCTCGAGAATCCACTCTACCTGCAACAAGACCAACCGGTTTATATCAAGCCCCGGAAATACAAGAGCAAGAGACTAGTCATGCAGGACGGGGAAGTGATGTCTGGTCTATGGGCTGTGTCACACTTATGGTACTTGCGTTCATATATGGCGGATCAACGGAAGTCACAGAGTTGGAGAGTTCCCTGATGGTCAGATTCCAGAATCTCGGCGGCAGAGAGCCTTTGTTCTACATAAGGAGCGACTCATACCCATGGAAACACCGAACTTCACACATTTGTCACTATCTACAAAGTCGGGATCCGGGCGATGATGAGATACCTCATACAGTAGGACCGCTTCGTGCCGCACTACACCCCAGTCTCATCGACTGGTCCAACATTCTGATCGAGGACTCATACGCATTCAAAACCGAGCAGAAGTTCGTACTATACATACTCAAAGTGATTGTCGGTAGAGTTCTTCTGATCGATCGCGGCAGACGAATAGAGGCATCTGAGCTGCGCGAAAGACTGGCCTATATTCAACAAGAGTGGGAAAAATATGATATCGCATCTGAGAACTACGTCTATCCAGATGCTTTGGCAGGTTTGGACCTTGTACAAAGCCCAAGCTCACCGGTATACGGAAGCACCCCCCACATCTCAAATGACAGTATCTTGTCGACGGCTGTTGCGCCTGAATCTCCTCATCCCCCACAGACTGAAATAGTGGCGCCCCAAGGAGGCCTTACGCAGCAGCAAAATGCGCAGATGCAGGAACTTCGCCGCGCGATTGAGCGAAACCATGCCCTCGGCGTGCAAGCCCTCCTCGAACAAAGCCCTGAGATACTA